TTTTCTAACCCGAACCCGACCCGACCCGAAATTTCGGGTCGGGTTTCGGGTTAGCCCGACCCGATTCGGAGCACTACATATTACAGTATTAAAATAAAAAGTTAAAATCCGGTTGTTGGGTCACTAAAGGTTTAGTTGGTGATATGAAACTAAAAATAGTATAAGCTCGTGTGACCTAGTAAATAATTACAAGTATAAATAAAGTATTAATCGATATTTTAATACGTATAAATTTAGTTACAGGGTATAATTCTATTTTCACCCTGGTTAAAGTCATACAAAATATTACTAATAGTATTAATTTTAGATACGTAAATGTCATTATAGTTTATTGGATGACTTTAACCCGGGTTTTTCATATTTATCGTCGACCCAATTGTATGTGTCACATTATTTTGTAATCTAAACAAGTTATTTATACAAGGTACACGCTAAATTTGTAAACTCCGGGTCTAATCTTAAATTGCCTTTGAAAGATGGCCCCAAAAAAGCGAGATACTTTCTTTAGAGAACGATAGGTATATGACACACATTCACTTTATTTATTAATATCAAAGCCGAAAAGAGTGTGATATGTTTTATTTCTTCGGATGCTGGAATCTTGAACCTCGACCCAGAATTTGAACCCGTGCATATCTAAATGCTACTTGGTGTAAAGAACCAAAGAACACATATAGAAAACCAAAAGAAAGTATACATAAGCACATTTGATCACGTTATTGAAACATAATTGGTACGTCAATCATTAATATGAATTTAGAAATGATTACACATACCGTTACACACTGTCTTGGCATTCGACCAGTAAATGGATTGAAGGATGTTTTTTTTTCATACGTATTGCTGCATATGTAAATTAATAGCATCAAACTATTGCTATTATTGTTTTGCATTACTCTGCACTAGCTCTGTTCAACATTGTACTTAAGAATTTGTGAAACTTTGGATTTTCCCGGAAAGCATAAAAGACGAAAATCCAACAGAATAATTTCCATAAAAAGGTCTGATTTCGAATGATCATTATAAAGTGGTAATAATTATACTGACTTTGAACGATCATTATAATCAGTGTTGGCAAATAGAACAATAGAACAAAAGCTTAATTTTTGTCTTTATATAAAAAATTCTTTTTCTTATTAATAATTTATAATTATTTAAATATATATTGTTAGAGCATTAGTAAAGTAATAAATTTATATTTAATTAATAAAGTTTAATACTAAAAATTTACAATAGAAAATTAAAAAAGTGAATAGAATTATATACCAATAGAAAAAGTATACGTAGTAAAATGTCAACCCTGATTATAATTATTTAAATATTGTGCATGCAAATGTTACTAAAAAATCCACTGGTATGGGACGTGCAGATTAACACGATATACAGGTACAGTACCATGTTTGATGAGATCATATCAAAGTATCAACACGGTATATTATGGATGCGCACTTAGTCTTAACATCACTCGTTCTATAATAACAGTATTAAGCACATTAATAACTATTATCGTTAATGAAAAAAAGATGTAAAATATATTGATAATACTTCATTATAAACACACCTTTAATTTCTACTTCAATCGGCCAAAACATTTCGGAAAGAACTTCCCATTATATTAGTATAGTGAATTTAATGAATAGATGAAGATAATTTTAGGGAAAATATTTACGTGAAATACTAATGGAACTCGATTCCCATTACCTGTATATTTACTCACAATAAACTCGGGAATTCCGAAGGAGTGAATGCGGGGATCCCGAAGGATCTACATTTACTAATAATCGGCATATTAATGTAACTATTTTAGGTACGTACATATAAAATAAATACGAAAAAAGAAATTTAATAATTACGTAAATTCTGCTTAAAAGTTTTAAAAAACATTCATTTGTTCACTCACTCAAGTTATATTTCTCGTTCTAGCGTCTCCTACAAATGAATTTATGGATTTATGCGATCCCGATTGTTTTAGTGGGTTTATTATTCCACTTTATACGTAGAATCTATAAACCTCTTAAAGAATTGGATTTCATTCCAACTGTTTCTGTCTTTAAATTCTTGTTATTAATGATACGTGATAAAGGACAGTATGAAATTCAAAAGCTAATTTTTGAATCGGATCCTGATAGGATTGGTTTAGTAAAAGTGGGTGATTTTATTTATCATTGTCACTATTTGTAAAAAAGTCAATAAATTTGGTTCGATATTTTATATTTTAGGTTTCTTTTGGATTGAGTTGGTTGATTCTTATAACCGACATCGAACTTGCTAAAGTATTTTTCTCTGAGAGTGGTATATAGCCCTTTAGAGTTTGGATTATCGGGTCACTTTTAAACAGTTTATTTATTTATATTAATAGTTATTATCTTTTTTTGCTAAGCATACACCCTTCCAAAGGGCGATTTACCCGAAAAACATCCAGCAATTATTTTCTTTGGAAAAGGGGTGGCATTCACGAATGGAGACGTAGATATCTTTTTCATTAAGTTTTGAATATTTATTATTAAAAAATTTTTTTTCCAGCATTTTTGATCAACATCTTCATTTTAAAGCGCTGGGTACGACAACGAAGAATAGCAACGCCAGCATTTAATCGAGCACTTCGCCCTGAAATGGTTGGGGAATGCACTAATGAATTTATAACTTTGTTAAACAAGTGGACAGGTACTCCGATTGATGTGTTTTCATTAATGCAACGTATTACTATTCAAATATTAGGAAAATTGGCTTTCGCATACGATATGAAAGTGAGCATTCATATAATATATAAATCTTATATAAATTTTATTGAGACTTCTATTTTCCCCGGTTTAAAGTCACCCGATAAGCTACATTGACTAAATAATATTAGTGCTAGTGATAGTTTGAGTGACTTTCAACTAGGTTAAAATGAAATCTCATTATAATTTTATTGTTTAACTAACTAAAGAAAAAATAAAAATCTTTTTCAAACAAAGGCATTGGATAGTTTGGAGGAACAGCCATATTTTTTAAAAACATATAGCCAAATTATTCAACATGTTACAGCTCCATCCTTTGTATTATTCTCATTTTTGAATTCACTCCCTCTTAAAAAAAATGTTGGACTCTCTTTATTAATTAAAGAGTTTGATGACTTTTTATTTAAAATGATTGAACAACGAAGGCTTGAAATGGTTAAAAACGAAAATGATAGTGAAAATACAGATTTATTGGCTGGAATCTTGGAAGCTGCTAATCGTGAAGAATACAACTACACGGATAAAGAACTTAGAGATGATATTGTTGTTTATTTTGCTGCCGGACATGACAGTAAGTATTAAACTTTTTATCATTTATTGTAGTTTTTTATACTGAAATTGTATAATGTAAAATTTGGGTCATATTTTAATCTACAATACCCTCTAAAATCTTGTAAGTGTTAATGAGATTTTGGATTTTAGGGCTAGAATGTAGATTAATATAAATCATTCTTACCCTAACGTTTTAATTTATTGCGCTTTTCAAATTAGCAAATTTCACGTATCACACCGGGAATCTGATAACCGTGAGAACTGATAAAAATTGAGCCACCATGTCTATTCCATAAGTCAAACCTGATAACCTGTTAAACCTGATAACAGATACTTAAAAATTAAATACTTATGATATCAGATTTGACGGGTAAAATAAATTGGTCTGATTGGCTCAAATTAGATTTTGTGTAACATATTATAATAAATCTAGCCAATCATATTTGTTTATAGCTATATAGCTAATAGGTTAGTATTTCAGAAATGATAACCTGTCAAAACTGATACAAAAGCTGGCCACCATTCATATCGGTTTGGAGAGGTCATACTGTATTTTAGGTTTCTTTTTCCCATTGTGATACGTGGAACCCGCTAATATCAGTAATTTGAAAAGCGCTTAAATCCCATTCTCACTTACAATATATATTATCAATTCTAAATCCTAACGTAATCCAAAAATTTTAGTGTCAAAATTTTGGCATCAACTTCTGCATTAATTGTAAAATACAAAATATCATTACTTAATTATTTCTTTTATTTATTACAGCTACATCAGTTTCATTAAGCGTTGTGTTTTATTATTTAGCAAAATATCCTGTAATTTTAATTTTTTTTGTTATATTGAACTCGATCTCATTAGATAAAAATATAAACGTTTAACCTGTCTTTTTTTTTTTAGGATATTCAAAAAAAGGCTCGAGAAGAAGCAATTAATGTTTTGGAAAATACTTCAGAATTACCAACTTTTGATAAGATTAAGGTATTCTTCTATTTACCTACATCCAATGCTATCAATCAAATACGATTAATAATGAATGGTTTTTTAAAAAAAAAAAAACAAAATAGGTCCTAAAATACATAACTGCAATAATTATGGAATCGCTTCGCATTTGTCCACCAGTAGTACAAACATTATTCCGTACTCCTACTAGGCCATTAAATTTATCAAAAAATATTACGATACCGAAAGGAGTAAAGATTACAGTGAATTTATGGCAAATTCATAGAAATCCAAATGTTTGGAATGATGCTGATAAGTTTATACCTGAAAGATTTATGAATCCTGAAAAAGAGACGAAAAGTAATTGGGTTCCATTCTCTAGTGGACCTAGAAATTGGTATGTTTGTTTTTCTTACCTAAAATATATATGATTGGCAGTTGAGTATATTTTATATTTATGCATTACAATTACAATGGTTTTACTTAGCCTTGGCCAAAATTTTTCAATGATGGAACAAAAAATTATTATTGCAATGACATGTAAGTTTATTTTAAAATCAATATATAATAATAATAATAATAATAATAATAATATATGTACTATTTATTTATTTACAGTACTTAACTTTGAGGTCTCCTTACCTACGAATACTAAACATTTCGATAAAATATTATTATCGTCATCCTTTATGATACATCCCAAAAATCTAGAACTTGTATTTACAAAGTTAAAGTAGGAAAATTTAACCTTTTTTTTGTTAGTATATTTATTATCACTTATATAAATAACACACTTATAACATATGAATACATTCAAAACCAGAATGAATTAAAATACACTATATAATATCTCAATTTAGTATACGTACGTATTACGCATATGTTACACATATTTTGATGTTTAGAATTCATAAATAAAAAATATTTATGCTAGGTATCCTGAAAATTCGGATCAACAATTATTAAAAATGACAATCCATATGCATTCATTTTAGTCTTTGAATAAACAATTAAATATTTGATAATAGTATTATTGTAATTTTTGTTTATCTTATTTATTTCCTCAGAAAATGTTGTACAACACGCATGATGCTTGCACGGAAAATAGAAATTTTTATTTTATACTTTATTTACAAACACAAACTTTTAATTTGTGTACAACCGCAAACATCAAAATAAATTTTCAATTTACTAATGCGTATCGCGTATCATCCGTATGTTAATCGTAATCAATTTGTCACTCGATCACTACAACTAAATACTACGAAATACACACTATGGGATTTTGCCCCGCTGCTCACGTGGTCACCAGCTAATTCTATAGTATCGTACCTATAGTTGTTAGACGAAACTGTTTTTGGGAAATGACGAAAGACGAAACCTAAACCCGTCGAAAGACGAAACTGACG